AGGGTGCATCCCCATGCACCGCCTCACCCTCCTCTTCTTAGAGTTGTATATATAGTTGAGAAGAACTTCTGGAGAAAAATTCGTTGACTTTATTCACAGAGAGAAAGAATCAAAGAGAGTTTTGGTGAGGTCTCGGTTAATTTCGAACAAGGTGAGTTTTTACAAAGCGGTTGGTAAAATATGTGTTATTACATTTCACGTGATTTACTTTGATACCTGAAGTTATATAATGTATTTGATTCAAGTTAACATATCGAAGTATTTCAATAAATATATTAAGTCTGTTATAAGTCTTCATCGACCAAGATTTGTCCGGATAAGGTGTTCATCGCCCAAGGTTTTGTCTGGATAGGGCGTTCATCGCCCAAGACTTTGTCCGGATAAGGCGTTCATTGCCCAAGGCGTTGTCCGGATACGACATTTATCGCTCAAGTGTTGTCCGATGAGGGCATTCATCGCCCAATTATTGTTCTATGAGGGCATTCCAAACTTTGACTATTGTGTTTGTGCATCACTTAACATGGCGACTTTAACCGCGATAGATGACGGGGCGGCCGTGATAGTTGGCGGGTTTAACCGCGATAGATGGTGGGGTAACCACGATAGATGGCGGGACAACCACGATAGATGGCAGGACAACCGCCATAGTTTTAAAAGTTGAAAACTAGACTGAATTTATTATTAATTTATGGCAAATTTTTATACGAGGGAAATCACTCACTATACCTTTAGGTCTAACCCTCAGTTGTTGTAAAATGTATTTTTGCATGTCAACTCAGGTTGGAGAATAAAGGCAAAGAAAGATGTAACTGACTTTTGGATTAGTTTTTGTTAGAGAAGTTTTATTTTTGAAATCAGACTTTTGATAATATGTATGGATATATCTAATATGTTTGTATATATTGGAACCTGTTATAGGTTATAGCATGACTTTTGGAATTTGGTTTTGTTGGACGGATTGTTACACTGTCACTTGATGTATTACTCATTTTACAAACCCTTATTCTTCAACAAAATCTTTTTTCAGGTAATCTTTTAATTTTTCTATCCATCACTTGAGTTGTTCTTTCATTTTATAAACTCTTATTATTCAACAAAATCATTTTTTCAAGTTGACTATGAGAATACTATTTTAGGTATTATTCTTGAGTTTTGTTGGGATTTTAGAGTTTATTTTTTCACTTTTATTTTCTATTTTTTTCTTAAGTTTTTTAAATGGAATTATAAGTTTGTTCTTGGCAGCAGTTATGGAGTTTTGCTGACAACAACGGTTCGATAATTGATTTTTTGAATGTATGCATTAAAAAATCTATGATATAACCTCAACAAACTTCAATATGTTCTTTTCTAACTGTTATTTCTTTTACAGATTTACTACAAAAAGACTAATCATACATTCTTTTTCGAGTTTTGTTGGGATTTTAGAGTTCTTTTTCATTTTCATCTTTTATATATTTTTTTTTTTCTAAATTTTAAATGTTACTAATTATTTTATTCACATGAGACTTGAATATAATAATATGTATGTGTTTATTTATATAACAATTAAATATAATAAAAAAAACTGATTATAATTGAGATATATATATATATATATATGTGTGTGTGTGTGTGTGTGTGTAATTAAAATGAAGATGATGATTAATCATATTATTTAATACCCTTTAGTTGACGAGTAAAAAAAACCCTAATTGCAATCAATATACATAAATAAAATACTATAATAATTTAATGTAATATAACTTATCATTCATTATAATTTTCATAATATTGCTTTTTCTATATATAAGTGAATAATCACTGACATTGATTACTATTTATACACCACACATTATATATTTTAATATGATTAAATGGTCATTATAAATTATAATTAATTATTATTTACATAGTATTTCTATTTTTATATATAATTAACATTCATGTATTTCTCTAAAATTAATATAATAAAGATGATAATATCCATGATTAACACCTTCCACAATAAAATGATTAATCAACCTCTCACAATTACAAAAAGTGAAGAAAATAAAAAATTATGATTGGTTGAATGAGGTATGTACAGTTTGTACAAATAACGTGGTTTGCAAAATAAACCTCCTCTATATAAAATAAATATTAAAATTAACATATAATCAATAAGTAAAAAAAACAATTATGACAATCAATACGTAAAACAGATAATTATGATAATCAATATATAAAATTAAAATTTTAATCAATATATAACAAAAAACTTATTATAATCAATACAGTAATACGTATAAAAGATAGAGGCAAATTATAGTTTATATATATATATATATATATATACTTACAGAGAAACCAAACTATGAACTGTCTAAAACAAGTCTAAGAAGTTTAAAAAAGTAAAATGACAATAACAAATTAATCAGACTCCTATGTATATGGAATGGTCATAATGTCAGCTATTATTGTTCCTCTTGTGCAATTACATGTAGGAAAAAAAAGGTGTTCANTTATAAATTTTATAAAGATAATAATTAAGTATTCTGTTAAATTTAATTATTATACTAATTATATTTTAGATTTTTTATATTTAAAATGAGATGTTTATCATGTATTTGATTGTGTTTATCTGTAGTTAGTTACACGAATTCAGATATGGGATGAAATCGGATAGGGATGAAATCGTTTAGGAATGAACAGGTTTAAGAGTTTTTAAGAGTTTCAAGAGTTTTTAATAGTTTTTAAGAGTTTTAAGAGTTTTTAAGAAGTTTAGCCAAATGTTTTATAAGATAAAGTATAGATATAACTTAGAAAACTAATTAAAATAAATAAATATATAACACTATATAAAATAATTATTGAAATTAACATATAATATATTATAATATGTAAAATAGAAAATTGTGGCAATCAATATATAAAATTAAAGTTAGAATCAATATATAACTAAAAACTTATTACAATCAATACAGTAATACGTATAAAAGATAGAGACAATTTTATTAAAACCTCTTTTTTCAGGATTTTTACAGAGAAAAAACCAAACTATGAACTGTCTAAAACAAATCTAAAAAGCTTGAACAAATCAAATGAAAAAATAACAAATCAGACTCCTATGTATCTGGAATGGTCATAATACTAGCTATTATTGTCCTACTTTGTGCAATTGCATGTAGGAAAAAAGAGGTTTCAAAGAGGTTTTTAGCCAATGTTGCAAATGAGTATATCAAGAACTGAAAAACAAGTTAATTGATTTCGAGTTCGACCCCATAGATGTGCTTATGTAGTTTGAATTTTACTCAAGTCAAAACTCGAACTATTTGCTATTTCATATAGCTTGTTTCGACCCCTGGGTTAGAAGGCTCGTGTTCCGCCTCTACACCGAACATAAATGAAACATAACAGAACAAGAATCATTGATCCATGTTTGGCTAGACTTTTATATGGAACAAATAAAAACATAATATAGCAAAGTGGAACAAGTTCCACCCCTACACTATGGAGCAAGGTGGAATAGACCAATATTTTAAGAATATAACCTCAAAATAAAACTTAATTCTCTACTTAAACATCAAATACGTTTCTATCTTTATATTTTATTCATTTTTTAATTTTTATTATTATATTTATGCTATTTAAACTTCCAATTTATTGTTCTCAAAATATTATTTATTATACGGTTTCTGTATTTTGATTAGTTTTTAATTTATTCAATATTAGTAAAAAATAATGTAGAAAAGGTATAAAATAAATATCGGAAGCAACATAAACCTTTTATTTTAGCGTCATTTTAATAGTCTTGACAAAACTTTTTAATGATATATTTTGTTATAAAAGATATTATTTTATTATAATTTAATGAATTACAAAATTAATTAGAATATATAACAACTCATTAGGATTAATTGATCATTTTATATGTTCTATCATCTCTATACTGCCTTATCAAACGTTCAACAATTGTTTTGTCATGTTTTATGTTATTCTGTCATGTTCTCTTCTATCTTGTCTGGATACCAAAGCACCCTAAATGAAATGCAAACATAAAAATGTCCATTTGATTCAACTAAACTCATATGCAACTAAACTCGTGTTCTTTTCTATCTTGTATTTTTGGCTATATGTATAGGCTACCAAAATTGACCAACCACCAAATAATGATGACAAAAAAGTCACAAGAAAAGATCATTGGGAAAAAATAAGCGTGTGTGTCGACGAAAATGAATGGTATTGAGAGAAAGCAGGTTGATTGAATAACCTATTGATTTAATGATTTTCTCATTTGAAATCCAACTTTGATTGAATGATATAACTCTGCAAGGTATGTGGCTTGTATTCTTGGCTATATGTATAGGCTACCAAAATTCACTAACCACCAAATAATGATAGATGACAAAAAAGTCACAGGAAAAGATTATTGGGGAAAAAAAAAATAAGCGTGTGACTCAACGAAAATGAATGGTATTGAGAGATAGTAGGTTGACTGAAGAATCTATGATTGAATGATTTTTTCATTTACATTAACTGAATGATAACTCTACAAGGTATAAAATCCTGTATATGATTGTTAAACATGTCTCTATTATATAAGTGTCATATGAATAGCCCTTTAGTACTAAGGGAGGTATTTTGAACCGATTTACGAGTTTATTGAGTCTAAATATTGTTATTGTGGAGGCACTCAAAACTGGTTGATAGGAAGTTATGAAGGAACTCAAACATGAGAATACATTGATGATGAGATACAACCTTATCAGTTTCTTGAATTGAATTGAAAAAGGTAAAAATTAAAGTTAAAAGTGTAAAAACACAAAAAAATAAATAAATTAAAAAAGAAAAAGACAATTATTGACCGGGGATATAAATTAAAAGGTAGATGAGAGGGGTGGTATATAGAGGGCTTCTCCTCTTTACCTTGTTAAATACATTACTACCATTCACACAAACAGATGAAATAATAGCCCCTTCAAGCTCCAGGTTTTATATATTCTTTGGAGCTACTGAACTTGTTTTCTTGTTCAACCATCAAAATGATGCATGTTACAAAACATTTTCATCACATCAAAATACAACTAGAAGCTATAACATCAGCAACCAACAACTTTTCTGAAGACAATTGCATCGGAAAAGGAGGATTTGGGGAAGTGTACAAGGGAGAACTCATCCATTCAGAGAGGCAAACCGTGGTTGCTGTAAAGCGTTTAAATCGTGCATTTGGGCAAGGAGACCCCGAGTTCTGGAAGGAGATCATCATGCTTTCCCGTTACAAACATGAAAATATCGTCTCTCTTTTAGGGTTTTGTGATGAGAGCGGTGAGAAGATCCTCGTGTACGAGTATGCATCTAAGAAAAGTCTAGACTTGTATCTCAACAGTGAGGATCTAACATGGATCCAACGCCTAAAGATTTGCATTGGAGCAGCTCGAGGACTCGCCTATCTTCATAATCCTGGTGGGACCCAACAAAGGGTATTGCACCGTGATATTAAAAGTTCTAATATCCTCTTAGATGAAAATTGGAATGCTAGGATATCAGATTTGGGTCTATCCAAATTTGGTCCTGCCAACCAACAAATCACATTTCTTGTCTCCAACGCTGTAGGCACGATTGGGTATTGTGACCCGGTATATGTAGAGACGGGGGTATTAACAAAGGAGTCAGATGTATACTCGTTTGGGGTGATGTTGTTCGAAGTACTGTGTGGGAGGTTATGTATTGGCAATAACAATGATAAGCATCGACCACTGACAGGATTGGCTCGACAGTGCTATGAATAGAACAAAATAAACGAAATCATTTATAGAAATATAAAGGATGAAATAAAGCCCAGGTCTTTGAAGGCGTTTACTGCAATAGCTTATCAGTGTTTGAAGAGAGATCTTGAAGAACGTCCATTAATGACCAAGGTTGTGAGAATACTTGAACGTGCGCTACAACATCAAGTGAGTTTCTTTTTCTAGTTCTACTCAATAATTAGTTATTGGTAATTATTATCTTGGCGGCATCACCAATTTGTGGATCATACCAAAAAACTGAATAAGTTTTTTTGTTTTAATTATACATTAATGAGCAGCAGGAACAAAGTCAGCGCCAACGGATGGCGGAGGAGGAGCGAAGTTTGGCGGAAGAGGAGCGATGGCGGGCGGCCGAGGAGCGATGGCGGGCGGCCGAGGAGCGACGTTTGGCGGCGGAGGAGGAGCGACAGCGGGTGGAGGCGGAGCGACGACGACAGAGGGAGGAGCAACAGGATAGAAGACTTCAAGATATAGCTGCTTTGGTTAGACAGTTCAGTCAATCTCAACATTGGCCCCCGCTACCACCATATTGAATATTGTCTTTTGCTTTGAAACAATTTAGTTTTGTTTATAACAATTTAGTTTTTGTTTGGTTGAAATAATTGTTATATAGTTGACAATTGGCCTGGTGGAATATGAAATTAGGTATTCATTTTTAATTGGTTTGAACAAAATTAAAATTATAAATAAACTTACAATTATTTATTCAATAAACATGATTCATAACATACATAACTTTAATCATTTAAGAACTTTATATTATGAGAACTATTATCTTAAGGTATTGTTTTACATGATTTTTATGTATTTGTTACACAATGTGTTTGTTTAATACGTATAAGATTCACAATGTAAAACTCTTTTACGTGTAACTTTTGTTTCATAAAGAGACTAAAAGAGTTTATATTATGCAACAAATACATGTGAACAAACACATTGTAACATAAACATATGTTAATCGATATTTTAAATACTAGTCTTAGATGAAAAATTATATGAAATATCACATGGTACACTAGTTCTCACAGTTATTACAATTTAATGGGTTCTCAAAAGAAATGTCACACACACACACATAGCGAGAGAGAGAGAACGAGGTTCAGAGAAAAACCCGAAAAAATAAAAAGATAAGGGACACTTAGTTACGGTAAACACATGTGCTTACAATTAATTGAAGATGTTTCCTGGTGTCTACGCACGATTGTATAGATGAACAGTATGCATGGTTCGTATATACAGGTTTTCAAGATTGTTAATTTTCTTAACGGTTTTCATAATGAACTAACATATATATATATATATATATATATAGGGTTGAGTTCACGTGAGACCAAACGTTTTTCGTGAGACCCGTAAGACCCATTTATGTTCATTGATCAACTTTATAAGTTAATGATCTAACGGTCTAAATTGTACGGTAGCAATTTGGTAATTATTAAGAAATCTTGTGGCGTTTATGAATGTTTAGATTGTCAGATTATAGATCTAATCGAATGGTTGAGAATTGGTCTTACGGGTCTCACGAAAAACCATTGGTCTCACATGATCTCAAGTCTATATATATATATATATATATATATATGAGGTTTCCTTTACAAATCACGTTATTTATACAAACCTCATTCAACCAATCATAATTTTTTAATGTTCATTTTTTGTAATTATGAGAGGTTGATTAATCATTTTTATTCTGTAGGCTGTTAATCATGGATATTATCTTCTTCATTATATTAATTTTAGAGAAATACATGAAACAATTTCATTAAAATTTTATAAGAATTATATGAACAATTTCATAAGATTAAACAATTTCATGAAAAAAATTTATAAGATTAAACAATGAAATTGACGGATGAGGGTGATTTAGAAGGTTTATACAAATATAGGTGGTTTGCATTTGATCGCTCATCTCTATATTTAGAGGGGGGGGAGAGAGTTGACTAAGGGCTTCTCCTCTATATATTGTTCAATACATTGCTAGCGTTCTCACAAACAGATGTGATATTAGCCCCTTCAAGCTCCAGGTTTTATATATTCTTTGGAGCTATTGAACTTGTTTTCTTGTTCAACCATCAAAATGATGCATGTTACAAATCATTTTCATCACATCAAAATACAACTAGAAGCTATAACATCAGCAACCAACAACTTTTCTGAAGATAATTGCATCGGAAAAGGAGGATTCGGAAAAGTGTACAAAGGAGAACTCATCCATTCGAAGGGGCAAACCATGGTCGCTATAAAGCGTTTAAATAGTGCAGTTGGGCAAGGAGACCCCGAGTTCTGGACGGAGATCATCGTGCTTTCCCGTTACAAACATGAAAATATCGTCTCTCTTTTAGGGTTTTGTGATGAGAGTGGCGAGAAGATCCTCGTGTACGAGTATGCATCTAAGAAAAGTCTAGACTTGTATCTCAACAGTGATGATCTAACATGGATCCAACGCCTAAAGATTTGCATTGGAGCTGCTCGCGGACTTGCATACCTTCATAATCCTGATGGGAGCCAACAAAGGGTTTTGCACCGTGATATTAAAAGTTCTAATATCCTCTTAGATGAAAATTGGAATGCTAGGATATCAGATTTAGGTCTATCCACATTTGGTCCTGCCAACCAACAAATCACATTTCTTGTCACCGACGCTGTAGGCACGTTTGGGTATGGGGATCCGGTATATTTCAAGGAGGGGGTATTAACAAAGGAGTCGGATGTATACTCGTTTGGCGTGATGCTTTTCGAAGTACTGTGTGGGCGGTTATGTATTCGCAATAACAATGATAAGCATCAGCCATTGGCACGACAGTGCTATGAACAGAACAAAGTAAAGGAAATCATTTTTAGAAATATAAAGGATGAAATAAAAGCCAGGTCTTTGAAGGCGTTTACAGCAATAGCTTATCAGTGTTTGAAGGAAGATCTTGAAGAACGCCCATTAATGACTAAGGTTGTGAGAATACTTGAACGTGCACTAGAACATCAAGTAAGTTTCTTTTTCTAGTTCTACTCATTAATTAGTTATTGGTAATTATTATCTTGGCGGCATCACCAAAAAACTGAATAAGTTTTTTGTTTTAATTATACATTAATTAGCAGCAGGGTGATGCAAATAGTCCTACAGATTATGATAGCGATGATGAGGACATAGTAGAATCAGATGTTTCGACATTGGATGGTGGTACAAGCAGAAACTATGTGAAGGTATGACTCACTACTATACTACTCCTTACATCGATGCTTTAGATGTAAATCATCTTACACGTTACTTTTCCTTGGATAGATTCTGGAATTCGGCTTAAAACATAATACTATGGTATTCATCTTTTCACTGTTTGAATTTGCCTTCGTTTCTTTGTTTTAGGAAAAGAGGTTGACGATGAACATGCGCTTAAAGAAGCTGCGTGAAAGAGTGAAAAAGCAACAAGAAGAGGTGGAAGAGAAGGCAAGTACTTTTACAGATTCATTCTTTCACTACAATTAATTTTAGCCCATATCTTTTAGAATCAGATCTTAAGCTTGATAGTTTGTGTAACCTACTTGTACTATTAGGTAAGCGGTATTAGGGTCTGTTTGGTGTCGATTAAATTGTGTGTATAGATAGGGAGGTTTTTGTCGGGGAGAGTTTGTTTTTTTTAATTGGGAGGGACAAGTTTAGTTTGCTAAATAACGCTACCTCCTAAAAGTTGTAAGCCATTTTTTATATCATTAAGCCACTACCAAATATTCATGTATAGTTAACCATATAAGTTGTGAGTCACATTAAGTTAATTAGGCCGGTAACAAATATGTCCTTAGACAAATACTAAGAGATAAACAGGATATGTCGTATTAGCCATTAGGTAAATCGGTATGTGAGAAATTTAATGTCATAAAGAGTGATGTTTCTTTTTGTTAAATTACGTCAGTTGTAGAATTTGATAAGGAACTTAATGCCACTAGCTATTAATAGTTAAGGCCACATAATTGAATAATTCTTACAAGAAAATCTAGTAGAGAAGCTAGAGCCTGAAGCAGCATCAACTGCAACTACGATGCTGTTGGAGATGGAGCGTAAGAAGACAAAGATTCGTTATTTGATTGAGTCGTATATGCTCAAAGCGAAGGTTGCAGAGGCCATGGAGGTGATGAGGAATGCGCAGCAGGTATCTCGTACCGTCTAGGGGAGCAGCTAGACCCTGAAGCAGCGGCAAATGTAATGGAGATGCTGCTAGAGATGGACCACACGGAGGTTCTTCACTCGAGTCCCCAGAAGCTCTCAAAGAGAAGGTTGCAGAGGCAGGGCCGTCCTAATCTTTTTGGAGGTCTTGTTACACCGATTATAGTTACTATTATAGTTCATATAAAACAAGTAATAAACAAGACAAAATATAAAAGTTCACATCATATATTAAAAGTTCTAGAATATAAAACAACCTGGTTTGAGGATTGAGGATGATATTGATTCTTGCCTTCTTGGTTCTCCCAAGTCCCAAAGGCCCAAAGCTTTTGAGTTTTGACTACACTGCAAAATCAAGTAAACAATATGAAGAGTTATTACATACATGTTTTCATCAAAAGAAATCCTAAAGTAAAATCGGTAACCATACTTATCGTTCTGTGACTGATTGTGTGTTCTGTACATGTTCTAGCCTTGGTTCATTAAGCAGTAAGCACACATGTGACTGATTGTGTGTTCTTCCTTTTTTGATATCAAAACTCATAATTCACATGTTTTATATGCCAATCTTATCTGGGTTACCTGGGTTTCTTCTAATTTTGTTGTATTTCTTTTAACTTATTGCAGTATGTTGTGTTGAAATTGGACTTCTTTAATGAGAAAGTCAAACAAAAGGCCATGACAAACGTCTACGGTCTCCCAGGTACTGCAAAAATCTAATGGCCTCCATTCTTAATTCATCAAAATCCTTTAATCTGAAGCAAACCTAGATCTAAAATCACCATAAAGATTCAAATTTTGATAATGATTTGGTGAAAAGCAGGTGTGGATTCAATAGCCATGGACATGAAAGTCCAGACACTGACTTTAACAGGGGATGTAGATCAAGTTAGAGTTGAGTCCAAACTCAAAAAGATTTGTCATACAGAGATTATATCAGCATACCCATATTACAATTATCAACAGCAGCAACAATCATATCCAGGATAATATTACAATCATCAACAGTAGCAGCAAGTTAGCAACCACAACCATATTAATATACTAGAAGGGTACTCGCGCAATGCAGTGAAATATATCTCGACTTTAATGTTTCGTTTTATTCCGCCTCAGTAGGTATATCTCATTTTTTTATCATAATTTAATTTAGATTTAATAACGGAGTAATTTATTTTTGATTTAATAATATATAATTTTTATAAGGATAATAATTAAGTATTCTGTTATAACTCGATTATCCTAATTATATTTTAGATTTTTTATATTTAAAATGAAATGTTTATCTTGTATTGACTATGATTATCTGCAGTTAGTTACACGAATTCAAACATGAAGCTTTAATAAGTTGTACTTACGCACAATTTGTTTGTAACCTTGAATTTTAAGTAATATGCATCAATAAACAGTACTTCATACATAGAAAATGGTTTTTAAGAGTTTTTGTCAAATGCTTTATAATATAGTATAGATTATCAATATAATCATCCACCAACACCATATTACTCAAAAGTTGTTCATAATGAGACCCCCAATTGTGTTATTTGCTAATCAAGCTATTATCAGATGATCAAAACTCAAAAGGTTGGAATAAGATTATAGGTATAATCCACAGAAACTAAAAGAAAAGAGATCCTAATTAATTCAACGATAACAATGAAGAAAACTCACCGAATTCGTTGAATTTAGCACTGCAATGGTGATTGGTGAATGACTCTACCATCGCCCAACGCCTCAACCTCAAATCGAAAAACGATCCAATGGATTAACACAACAAAAACGAAACCGAAATCTTTGATTGGAGAAGGCAGAACTCAGGAGGAAGGGGCGAAGATTGAAGAATCAAAATGCAAAAGGAACTGACGAGGATGAAGATCGAAGTGTTGTGATATTGTATGAAAATCGAAGCGTCGCAGGCTTCACCGCTTTGCCGCGTCTGAAATTCCGGTTCTAAATAACAGATGTAATGGGCTCACTGACGGTCCTGTGCAGAGGCCATGGCGGTTTTGAGACTCCAGCAGACAAGTGGTGCGGCTAACAAATTGGCTGCAATGTCGCTCAACGATGACATTGTTTCCTAAACTTACCATTGGTAACTGAATTGGAAGGAAGGTTTGTGATAAAATTATATACCCACGGATGACAAATTCAAGCAAAAAATAATAAATGAAATTTAAAAAAAAAATCAAATTACCAAGATTATGTACTAAGAAAATCGAATGATTGATACAGGAATTATGCAGAAACACTAAGGCAAATCTTACCTATTGTGACGAAAAAAGTCGTCGCAAAGATCCATACTTTGTCGCTATAGGTCTATTGTGACGACAGTCGTCGCCGTAGAGCCTGTCGCTGTAGCCCTCTATACATGTCGTCACTAAAACTCAAAAATAAAAAGTTGAGGTTTTTACCTACTGCGACGACTTGTCGTAGCTATAGATGAAAAATCAAAAAAGAAATTTTTACCTACTGCGACGACATGTCGTCACTATAGGGAGATTTTTTATTTTTATTTTTCACCTATAGCTAAAACAAAACAGGTGGTCGAAGTAGGTATAAACTAAAATTTTTAATTTTTCATATCGTTACAGTGGTAAAAAAAAAAGTAATTTTTTTGTTGGTACCTTTTAACTCTTTTATTTGGTTATACAATCTATTTACTAGATTAATTTGATATTCAAATAACTACCAAATAATTTTGAAAACCGTAATACAAAATTAATGACATAAAATAAACATTATGTCTCAGATATATTCCACATCAAACTCATCCCCATCCTGGCTGGTGGCTGCTGCGATGGTTGCCCCGCCATAGCCAACGCAAATAAGGTCTCGAGTGACAGCGATATACACACCTGGATAGTATTAGTACCTAGAACATATTCAAACATTTTAGATTTTTCAACGTATATAAGCTTTCGTATTGCATACTAAACATACCATTCCAACCATGACTACATGACACACTATCCATCATATGTAATCAACCATATGACTAGTTGACAAGAATGCACAAAAACATGAACAGAAGCTATTCCTATTTCATTGCACCAGAAACCCATTAGAAACAGATCAACAAAGTATCAAATGTGTGACAATTGCAACCTAAAATGTTTCAAAATTGGTAGAAACCGTACCTTAAGCTTTTCCCCCAACTTGTAGAAACATAACAAGAATCAAAGAAACATCCTCTTATTACCTGCTAGATTTCATATTCTTTAAGATAAATTACCTTTTCTTACGAAGCTTACCATCTTACTGTTGGATTTAGGGTTCTAATTTTAGGCTAATAAAGAGAAGGAGATTTCTACTACTTATTGCTTTCAAGGCGAGTGATCTCTGTCCTTAAAGCAATTTCGCCCCCACCGTATGTGCTTTGGGATTTTGGCGAATCGCTTCTCAAGATACAATGAAGCAACGTATGTAAAATGACTATCAACACCGCACTAGTGGTGATAGTCCCGGTTGAACAATTGAGTTTCGAGGATTTCAAGAGACTAAGAAGTTGTGTTTCTATAGCAACATAACCCTTAGCAATCTGGTATATAGAACAAAGAAAAAGGTTAAACGATTTTGGTGTCTATAGATGGGTATATATAGGCATATGCGACAGCCCCTTGAACAGTCACCATTCGCGACATTTCGAACAGTCGCAACTGTTCGAACGGGTGCCATCTGCGACGCTTGAACCGTCGCATCTGTTCATTACACCCTTTGATGCGAACCGGTATGGGTGCCATCTGCGACGAACCGTCGCGTCTGTTCACGAAGAGGCACCGTTTAATGGCCAACCGTCGCACCTTTCACTAACCATCGCATCTGTTCGTAGTAACTGTCACTAACGAATTATTTACAACGGTTTGAAGCAAAAGAATTAAGGCGGCTACAGGCCGCTCGCGGTGATGTTTGTGTGCGTCATCAAAGCGCCACATTGCGCCCACGGTCGCGCGCGTATGCACCCTTGTGGAGCCCCCATCATTTCCAATATACTAAATTAATATATAGAAAATGCCTCTTCTTATATACCCACTTGAATTTCACTCTTGCTCCTATGTGGGACAAGGAGAAACCCACCAAAATGATCCTTTCTCTTTTCCTGAGACCTAACCCAAAAGACTTTATTTTATTTTGAAAATATTCCCAACACTTACAGTTCATATATGCAATAGGCATGGGTATTCTGGTAGGCGAAGCTCAAACTTTCTTGTGTAAGTATATTATCATTTCAAAATAAATGCAAAATTTTATAACGATTACATGATCAACGCATAAATTATGAGACTTTCCAGTTAAAAAGAAGGTTAATGAGAGCATATGAATTTTTGATATCAATAAAGTAGGGTAATTAACAAGATGTGTTTTGATATCAATGAAGTAGGGTAATTAACAAGATGTGTTTTGNAAGTAGGGTAATTAACAAGATGTGTTTTGATATCAATGAAGTAGGGTAATTAACAAGATGTGTTTTGGTGTAACAGAAGTATATAAGTACATAAACCAACCAAATTAAGTTCTTGTTAGATTTTGGATGCATGTATGGATCATGGGTTTTCTAAAGCTAGAGAGCAGAAACAATCTCTCTATCTCTTGATACATTGGTAAGATTAATTGTGTACATATGAATATCATATCCAAACAAATTACATATTGCATAGATTGGGGAACAGATTGCTCTAGACTTTTGAAAGGTTTTTTGCTTCATTTTCTAGTGGAAAGCCAATAGAATGGTGGTTGTTTCTGATCAGAAAGGGGGAGTAATTAAGAATAAAAAGATTTACCAAATAAACTGAGGGAACCATACTCGATGCAATTCACCTGCTATTGAAATTTTACAAAACTATTGGTATGGTGATTGTTCATCAGGGGCATTCACGTGTAGAAGTCAAGCTAAAAGAAAATTAGTACTAGTATTTATCCACAGAGATGCGACATGAAATGCTCATACAAGTTTAAGGGAATAGGTGCTCATAGCATACAACAGAAATATTCTTGGAATTTTAGTTTATTAAATAACAGTTAAAACATGAGGATATTGTTAGGCATGAAATAAGGATTTTAGGGGCTATTTGGTTTAGGCAAGGGAAATAAAATGAAAATGATAGGGAATGAAATTGTGAATGAACCGGTTTAATCTGGAATGAAAATTCTGGGCTTGTGGAGAAATGGTCTTATTATATTATATAAAACCAAACAGTTTCTCTTATTTTCACTCCCGTTAATTACTGCTTAATACCCCTGACCATATATCCCCTTAAAGTTGCATTGATGACTCTATAGAGGTTATATGTTGGGTTTGCTTAACTTCCTATATCATTCAACAATTCATCTGTTTTATAATATAGAATGCAATTATTTTATTGTTTCGTGTTCATGATCTAATATAACTGATAGGTTTTATGCTTCACGCAAATACTTGGCATACTTCCTTTTATTCCTCTCCAAGTCAATTGCGTACTCCATTAATGCATATTTCTCTTAATTACTTCCCCTTCTTTCAGTAGGTTTAAATATTTGGATCTCAGGCAAACCAACTCCTGGACCATGGATCATAAACTCTTGAGCAACTGATAGCTTGACAAGTTGCTCCAATCTTTTGTCAACTTATAATCCTTGTAAATGGAAAAGAAAATTAAAAATCAAGATTGCAGGTGATTCTTGCTTTGCAACAATTGGACCAGAATCCAATAAATCCATTGTTATATATCCTTAATTCTGGATGATCTTAATGAGCCTAAATTGTTCATTAGGATTTATGTTTGGATCAAAAGCTAACAAACCAAATAAATCTGATACGGATTAAAGCAACTATAAAAAATGAGGATACATTCTCACAGTCTTCAACCAATAAGACATGGTCATTATTGTAGTACATGGATATTCAAATGTCATTTGTTCAAACATTGCAACAAATGGTTGATATTTTACAAAGGGACTTAAATAGATCTGACTATAAGTACAAAATATTGTATTATTAACAAATTTAATTTAATTTA